ACACCCCCCCCCGGGGGGGGCGGGGCCCCCCCCCCCCAAGGACTTTTTGGTTTGGTTTGCTGGTTTATGGTGCTGCTTCACCCTGCGCCCTTCCACAACTGCACGTGGAAAACCAGCTCCGAAAAAAAAAAAAAAGCTGCCGAAACTCTTCTGAGTCAGCTGCTCCAGCTAGGCGGCCAGCACTGCAAGAGTTAAGGTAGTTTCTTCCCCTGGAGTCAGTCAGACTGGGACACACCCCCTGGCTGTATTAACTTGTGCAGGGTGGCAAAAGTTCAGGCTTGTAAAGTCCCGATTGGCTGTCCGCAGAGCTATGCCTCGCCCCTTCCATGCTGATTGGGCGGGCGGGTGAACTAGAGCAACCTACTTTCTAGCACAGATTGTCATTGAATGAAAGAAATTCCGTTATCGTCATTGGTCCTCAGCGGTATTTATGCCCCATTCACCTGATGTTGGTTAGGAGGGATAGGAACTTGACTTTAAAACAATCCACGACTTTACCGTCCACCAGCACAAGCCTTTGCATTTGGTTTTGCTCCCGTTTATAATCTCTTCCGAGTAGTTTACTGTAATTGGCTACACTTGCTCTCAAAACCTGACTCCCTTTAAAAATAAGTCTCCCTGAGGAAGTTACAAGGCTTGGGTTTAGATCGTGGATATCATAGGTCTGTCTCTAGTTTAAGTAAAATGCCCAGGTCCTGAGTTTCAGGTGTACGAAATAAAATGAATATTGGGCTAGAAAATACCACTGAGGGATTAATTACTAGATGGCAGCGAATTTATTGATTCAAATGGCAGCTAATCAGCTGAGGAAGTGGGTTTTTGCCCAGGGAAGCTTATGATTCCATATATTTTTGTTAGTCTCTAAGGAGCCACAGGACTACTTGTTGTTTTTAAAGTTACAGACTAACACAGCTGCCCCTCTTAGACTTTATATCATGAGCACTTCAGCCTGTATGTCACAGGTGTCAGAGGGAGTAGCCCTGGTAGTCTGTTTCAGCCAAAACAGCTAAAAGTACTTTAAGACTAACACATTTATTAGGGCATGTTTGTTAATCTTTAAAGTGCAGCCGGACTCCTTGTCTCTGTTGCAGGTCACAGGAATGAAGCTGTATTACAATGTCCGTCCACTAGAGGGTGGCTCTGGTACCTCACAGCTGCCAAGTTTGTGTTGAAACATTTTCTGGGGAAGAGAAATTGATTTATTCCACCCATTAATACGGTACAGTTTGTTAAAAGTAGCAGCAGCTTTCTCCTGCTAGGAACATAAGCTTTTGGCGTGAAACCGGATGGCTAACCAGCCTGCTTTCCTGAACTTATCATCTCAGGACTACAAAAGTTTATTGAAAACTCGATGGGTTTATTATGCTGAAAATATGACGTATAATTGTAGGGCCTTTGCAACTCAACTGAATTTCACTTTGAAGTGGCAACTGACCCCTCCGGGAGATTTCTGAGTGATACTGCAAACAAGGGGTGGTAAATATCATTTAATTGAATAGTCTATTAACCTCATGAAATCTTATCGGTTACTCGACTAGGCTGTGTCTAGACTGGCAAGTTTTTCCGGAAAATCATCTGCTTTTCCGGAAAAACTTGCCAGCTGTCTACACTGGCCACTTGAATTTCCAGAAAAGCACTGACAATCTCATGTAAAATCATCAGTGCTTTTCCGGAAATACTATGCTGCTCCCGTTCGGGCAAAAGTCTTTTTCCGAAAGACTTTTGCCCAAAAGGGCCAGTGTAAACAGCATAGTACTGTTTTCTGCAAAAAAAAGCCCCGATCGCGAAAATGGCGATCGGGGCTTTTTTGCGGAAAACCGCGTCTAGATTGGCCACGGACGCTTTTCTGCAAAAAG